ATGACCAGTCATGTGTGAATGCTCATACATTTCTATTCATTGCCGTAGAATGTAAAGATGCCTTTTTATGTCTTAAGTATGAATAACATATGAAGCGGTATTGTTCCAACAAAGATAGAGAAGAATCAGTTTGGATATATGTATGTTACTCTAAAAACTCTTAACTGCAGCAGGAACTACACAGAACAAACAGATTCAAGAGCTGTTGCAGATTCAAGATGGAGTAGAAGTAACTGCTTTAATTTCTGGTTGATTTTCAACTGCATGCCTCCATTCCACTAGAGAAGAATGAATCGTAATGTGTACTGGTATAGAATTCTTAAGATGTAGAGGCTTCCATATATGCTGGTCTCTTGATTACAGCTTGTATGTAACTTAAAGAAATGGGAACTCTTTATTGACAACCAAAACTTTATTGTTTAAGGAACAAGAGACATACCTGACAAATGAAGAAGGAATGAAGAATATCTTTTGTAAGAAAAGATAGATATATTGTGATTAAAATTGAAAACTCAGTACTTAGGTGGAACCTGAAAAGTAGAAATGAAAGCTTTCTCTGGCAGGTTCTTTCATGAGGGGTGGAAGTCCAGAGGTGTTCTGAGTACTTTTATAACTATGTATTTTCTGTGCATTGACATAACGATCAGTTTTCTGTCCTGTTGCCTTATGTGGAGGCATCTTTAGAGCTAGTGCAATAAATGATAAGAGAATAAGTATAAGATGGAAAGACATGTCTGTGCTTTTTGACATTGATTTCCCTAGTTTACAATAGTGTTCTGTAATTTCATTTTACTGTACTTCTTTTAACTGTTATTTTAATTTATATTTATTTATATTTAGTGGGATATTTACTTCAGTATAACATTTTTTTTCATGTAATTTTTTTAATCCAGTAACCATTACTTCTGCAAAATAACTTGCATCTCTGGCCCTTTGTATGTCTTATATTTGTAAATAATATACATAAATTGTCTATTTCTCCTGGACTTCACGTGGAGATGTTCTTGAGGAAGAGGAATTGCTAAGTTTTCTAGAAAACAGTAAAATTATCACAGTTAGTAATACAATATAGTTCATTGGTAGATCCTATCTTTTTATATGGAATTTGTTTTCCCTTCCAATAACTCAGAAAGGAGAAAATGTGAACAATGCAGTAATATATAAAAGATGCAGGTATTTCTATATGTGTATATACACATAATTATTGGATTTTGGATAAACTATGTGCTCAGGTTTAAGGAAAACATCCACGTGGAGCAGTGGAAATTTCAGAGTGTGCACTGCAAATACATAGTCTTTGTTCAGTATTCAGTAAAGATAAACTGCTTTCATTACTGCTATCAATCCCTTTTTTTTAGTACCTTTAACACATATTGTATGATATTTTAATTCCTTTAGGTTTATATCGCATATATTACAGAGGGCTAATCAGAAGATATGCAATGCAATATGCGAACAGCACATTTTTAGTATACAGTATGTTTGTGTTTGACATGAAGTTTGGCAAGAATTATGTTGGACTTCTATACTGTGGTTTTAGTTGTCATTTGGAGCAGCTTGTCCATAGTTGTGTATTCCAAATTTTTAAACATACTTACATTTTAAAGTGAGAGAAATATGTATTATCATTCATTTGGGTACTAGTGGAGCCTTTGTTCCAGGAGCAAAAATTTCTCTTGCTATTTCTACAGTCTGAGTTTTTTGGTTGTTCTTCCTTTCTTTGTGTTACAATGGTTTACATTTTCTGTAGTTACTTGTATTGATTTAGAGGGGGGGAAAAGAAGTTCTTACCAATTGTACACTTTCTGTTAAATAACTATTTAATTTCCATTTCTGATATATGCTTATGGACCATTATCATTGTCTTCATGGTTTCCAGTAATGACCTGAAAACACAGTCTTCTGATTTTACGTCAGTAGCATGGTCTTCTGAGAAGTTCAATAACACTTGTAGTAAATTAATTAATTTACAGTACTATAAGTTGAGTAATGATAAGGCACACTTCTAATGCACAGAATGCTTCCTTTGGAAAGGATTTCTGTTTCTTTCACTTGATTCTTCTGGTCTTTTTAATTAATAAAGGGCCTCTTATTCAAAAGTATAAATACGTTGCCAAATGTATTACCATTAGTGATGTAAGAACAGTTGTCTGGGGTTCCTACCTGAGTCCACTTCCATTAATTTCAGTCATGGTAAAGTTGCTTAAGGTATATGACATATGTGACAGTACAGGTGCTCAAGACCAGGGCTTATGAATCTGAATATTATGTTGATAGAATTTTGTCTAAGAACTTTGCTATAATAGAAGACACAATGGTTTGATGGTAGAGAAAGAATTGTTGGTAGAGAAAAGCTATTTTAAAGTAGTTTTCATCATAAAATAGGATTGGTAAGTTAGAAAGCAGGAACTGACAGAGAAACAGGAAAAAAGTGGCTTCTGAGTGGGAAGAATCAGTGCAGAGTTAACAAGTGATACATGATGTCATATTCAAACAAAAGCAAAACAGCTTCTTTAGCAACAGTGCTAGGAGAAGGAAACAATCTTTTTTTCATCTAGAGGCACAGAAACCTAAACTATACTTAGAGCCTTAACCGTGTATTATTCAGAATAACAAACTTCAGATTGGACCCTTAAGATACCACTGAGACATCACAGTAATCTTTTAAAAATAAAAAAAAAATCAGTGGTTGGGGCTGTATCTTCAAAACGGGCAAATCTTCAAAAACATTTTCAAGTTCAGTGGAGTCATTTGTATTTAAGCCTGTGCACTATTTAAGTAACTGGCTTTTGTTTTAGAGAGCTGTGATAAGATTTTCAAAAAGTAAAAATACAGGAGCCGCTAGCATTAGCTATTGCACCTCTTGTTCACTTGTAACTTGTATCAGGTGATTTATTCCTACTTGCCTTCTCTACCTTCATGAAAAATCTGTGAGCAGCTAATTTGGGTAGAAGAAAGAAAACTGTGTATATACAGTTGTATTTTGATGTTATTTTCTCAGGTTTAGCAATGCTGTTCACTCTACTTAAGTTTTGTACTTCCAGAATTGAATATGTTATTTGTGAAGTGATTAGTAATTAGCAAGACTTTTTATAGTATTTTTGATTCTTTAGAAGATAACTAATTTTATGACTAATATTGTGTTAACAAAACATCTTTTTTTTTTTTTTTTTTTTTTTTTTTCTCAAAGTGCTTTTTAGTTTCTGCATTTGAACAGATATATAAACTGAAGTAAGGCTCTCTTATATATTTTGGTCTTGTTTAATAAGAGACAGATTAATGTGCTTTTTGGGGTGTTTAAAATACTTCTAAGGCAGACATTGACATGATTACGGTTGTATTCTACAATAAAGTGATACAATCCTGATTTCCTGAAAGAGTGACAAGTACACTAGATCTTGTTACACTGAAGACTGAATGCTTAAAATACTTTTTATTAAATAATTCCAACAAAATATATTTATTTTAAAACTCATATTGCTTTGTTCAATGTTATCTATATTATCCAAATATTTTTTTTAAGTTGTTTATATAGTGTGCAGAATTACGAGGTAACTATAGAATGTAGGCTGTAGATGATATCTGCTATTTCAGTGTTAATTTTGTTGCTATTATCAGAGCATCACTGGAAGATCAACAGGTTTTTTTTTTAATCTTGATGGGAGACTTGGTTTCAGTTTTGTTTACTATAATTTAATATTGCAATTAAATTGTGATGTTTGGAATTGTTCATATAGCTTAAACAGAGAGAATTTATGCCTGTAGGTCCCTTAGTTTTAATGTCTTTCTCTATGCTAGTTTGAGGTTATTTGCCAAAGTCATGGATTGAGAACAGCTGTGAGACCCTAAAGCAGAAGAACATTTTGAACAGCCCATGGAATTAAAAGAAGTGGGTGTGAATCAAATAGAGACACATTGCAAAGAAACATCGTAGATCCAAAAGCAAATTTTGAACTGGAAGTGACAAGGTGTGAACACTGTTTTTTCGTCTTTTGGACAGTATCTGTAGGGGGACAGAGGATATTGCTAAGCAGTTCTTTTTTTTTTTTTTTGCTTGACTTATTATTGGAGGAAAAAAAAAATCTGTTTTGCCCCACTATTATAGTCCTTTTGGGGAATGGAGAAATGGTTACAAGGATTTAGGGGTTTCTGAATTGGCTGTCAGTGTATGATGGGTCAATATGTAACACAGACTTCTTGAATTCTCTTAATGGCCATTATGATTAGGATTGACTTTCTCCATTTAGGAATCATTGTGACTGCTACTGTATCTTTTAATCTTATCTATAGCATAGTGTAAGTACCATGTGTAATTGTTTCCTCTTCATTTTCAGGCAAGCATGGTAATGCTTTCCAAGGTATCTTTGCAATTCTCACTATTTTTGTTAGAGGTTTCAATATTAACAAAAATTTTCTTATCTTAACTTTGATACCAATACGATTATTTATGTGATTACACATAATAGTACACCGTATATTATTAGTGATATTCATTTTGTAGTGTTGTGGTTACAGTTTTTCTTTGAGTGTTAAATTGCTACAATCAGTTATGATTATGTAATGTGCACAAATTGTGAAACACACATTAGTATGCAGAAAGTGATGAATCTAAATAATCCTAGACTTTGCTAAATAAATCCAGGAAGGTACAATGTATCTACTTGTAGTGCAACTTACAGACACATTCTTCTTTTCTATTTTACAATAGTATTCAGAGCTTCTGAGATTATTTTTGTAACACTAGTTAATGCTTTAGAGAACGTAATGATCTTTCATAATTTATTTGGAAAAAAAAAAAAAAAAAAAGCCTTACTCTTAGGGAACTAATACTTCCCTTCACTGTCCCAAGGAAGCATGTAATATAGTAAGGAGCTTTCAGTGAATCTCTGAATCCCAGTCTTAGTGCACAAACTGTAAAGTCCATGTGAAGACAGGAGCAGTCATAAAATCATCCTTTCAGACACAGCTGTTTTGACAATTTGCATTTCTTATTTTGCTAGAAAGCTAAAGAAAAGACAGGTGAAGTGATAGCAGAGAAGAACATTATGAAGACAGAGCATGGAATTATGGTGAACAGTAACCGACATAACCTGTACATTTTGCATCCAGTGATCCAAAGAAACACTGAAGTACACAGAGTGGGCTCAGTCACCTTCTTGGTTGGAAAAACACCCAAAGAAATCCGCAGGTGAGACTACTTTGATGAAGATAAAGTAAAATTCTAAGCTTGAAAAATTAATGTTCTCTGTGTTTCTACCTTCCCCAGGGAATTCTGATGTTTTTGGTTTTTTGGGGGGCGAAAGCAGAACTAATACGAAACTTCCACTCTAACTTTACAGAAAGAAACATAATTGATTAACAAAATGAATTTAACCCACAAGTCAGTTTAATTTGTTAATTTGATCTGTCACACATTGCTGTGCAGATGTCGTCACCACAATATTCATGGGATATGCACCATGCAATATAACGAGCTAATGCTTAAACAGTATAGAAACAACAAAGTTTTATAGTGGCAGCCTCTGACAGCTTACTGGTTTTGTCTAGATTTCATCACTTTCATTAAAAGACTGTAGAAAGATTAAACATTATTTTTTTTAATGTGGAGCTTAATGGTTTTTGATACTTTTTAAATAAGTTTATAAGATTTAATAATATCCCTTGGAAAATTAAGAGTTTTTCTGTCTCCTCACTTTTCCTTTTTCCCCAGACGGTTGCTATTAATAATACTAATGCTTAATTTCCATTGGTACATACATAGAAATTCAATAACAATAACCAGGTGATATGCAGAAAAAGAAAGGAAAAAACTGTTGTTAATTAGGCTAACCTATAGAACTGAGATGTATATATTTTTAAATTGTCTTTTTGCCAAGAAAATTACCTTATGATAGTTGATATTCCGATAATATTGTTCAACTTCCTGTTAGCCAACTGATCATAGTTTCCCAAATCATTACTGATAAAGTGTCAGACTGATTTAGATACTGAAAATTTTAAACATGTAAGAGGTAGGAAGAGAAGAACTCTTTCTGCTAAAAATATTCAAAACTGTAATCATTGTTATCAGTAACTTATTGAGATACAATTTTCAAAGGCAGAAGGAATTTCTTAGAAAATGCTAAGTCATGTCTAGCTTTAATACATTCTGTCTTAAATGTTAAGTGAGTCAGATGTTAGTACCTAGCTTGCTGCTAGATTTCTTAATACTTTTAAATCCTCTGTATAATGAATTAAGATGACAGGATTCCTCAGCTTGGTCTGCTGTAGTTGCAAGATTGATTGGGAAACTGTCTACAGAGGTTGTGCATAAAGAAGGTAGTGGGAGCCAATCACTAAAGCAGTATTTGGGATTAAGGAGGATTACATCTCATTGTCCTCAATCTGCTGGAGCCCTCTTGCAGGAAAGGTAGCATTTCATATACTGCGTCTGACAAGGAGGTATAAACTCACACCTCCAGCCTTCCGGCTAAGTAGCTTGACCCCAGACTGTGGCTAAATTTGATTAGACTAATGTATAGTTAGACACTGGCTTCTGAGCACAAGGCAAGTACTTACAGCTAACTAGAAGGGACAGTTTCTGCCTCATCTGATGGTATTCACCAAACTGTTATTTAGCAAGTTTTTTTTTTAAGGAGTTTTAACAACTGTTCTGCTGTCTTCCCCTCCCCCCCAGAATTCTACTGTTTCTCTATCTAAATTCTTTCAGCAGATAAGTACCTTCTGAATTCCGGCCCTTTGGCACGTAATCTTACCTACACTGAAAGTTGATGTGTCTTCAGAACATAAGCTCAGAAAATCACTTGAGATTTTGGGTTTCAGAATTAGTTGTTCTACAGTCATTATTCTTTCTTCACTAATAAAAACAAATATGGCTCCTAATAAGGAAGTTACTTTTAATGATTACTTTTTGGGATATGTGAAATAGAACAGTGTAATGAATTGCTTAAAAGCTTCTTTTTTCCTAATTTGTGATGTCAGAATAAAACATTTTCCTTTCTGATTACTTACAGGAGACAATTTGAGGAAATTGTATCCCACTTTAAAATGGGATCAATGGAAGAACTTGCAGAACATATTGCAAAGGCTACATCAGAATCCCGGCAGAAGTTGCTGAGGGAATTTTACATTTCAAAGCATCCAGAAGTTGAGTCTTTGTTTCCAATGGAAGTACCAGCAGAAGTTGCACATGACTCTTTGTTTCCAATGGAAGTACCAGCAGAAGTTGCACATGACTCTGAAGAAGGAGATGCGGCTGCAAGAAAATCAAGGAAAAGAAAATGTGTTGTTAATTCTGGAAGATGCAAGTCTGGACCTTCATCAGCTAAAGAATTTCTTCTGAGTGGAACTACAGAACTGCAGAACCAGCGAAGCTGTGAAGTAGAGCAACTTTGCAGTGACTCATGCTTGCAAGATACTATGCGTGTTGATGTGAAATATAAAAAATCACCCATTGTTGCAACTCAACATACTAAGAGGAGTAACAATCAGACATTCAAGGATTTTATAGCATCTGGTTCATTAAACAGGAAATCGAAAATAATTGAGGTGCTGTCTGTAAAAAGCTTTGAAGGACAGCAGGACCCAGAAGTAGCAGGGCTGCCAAGAAAAAGATCCCTGTCTCTGTCAGAAAACAGGGAGAGAAGAGCTAAGGCTGACAAAAAGTCTTCTCTTGACTTACTTGGAGATACCTCTATTCTCAATGTTCTCTTCAGAAATAGTGGGGAAAAAACTACAGAATCACCACGGAGAATCCCTTCAGGGCAAATAGAAAAATCAAAGGAGAGACCAAAAGATTTCTGGGACATGCTGAATGAGCAGAATGAGGAGAGCCTCAGAAAGCTCACAGATATGACAGTTATAGAGGAGCTATGTGAAAGAGCACCTCATCCACGAGTGACAGAAAAGAGAGAAGTGTGTGAAAATTCTCTTTGGAAAAAAAATGAAAACTTTTTATGGAGAAAATACAGTTCAGATGACTCAGATGAACCATCTTCTGCTACATCTTTTAACGTAGTAAAATGATAGTTTTCTACATGAGTTGTGCTAGAATTATTTTATTAGTTAAATGAAGATGAAAATATATACAACTTCAGCAATATGCTGTGAAACATGATACCTCTATAAATTTGAAGGCAAAGTGATGAATTCCTATTTATAATAACCTCAATTTACATTTCACATTGCCTGTGCTATATATCATTACGAAGCTATGACAAACTAAATTGAGATAAAATTATTTTTAAATGTTTTGAGTAAACTTGCTTTATTGAATGATGATAATTCTAGATCTTATTATTCCTGCTGATATTCCTCGGTTGGCAATAGTAGTGAGCGGTTTTCCTCCTTCACTCACATTTCCTGCCTTTACACATCCTGTCAGAATCTATGTTAACATGATTTTGATCAGTTTGACTATAGAGCTGTGAAGCTTCCAATTTTTTTTTGGTATTGTATGCCAGTGAGTTCTTCACCTTAATTAATGTGGATGACCAATTTTTGCTTGTTACCTGTGTCTCTTGGTGTGAAATCTCCAGCATATTAAATGATGGCACAAATTTCATCTGTCATTATGCTTCCTCTCTTTTATTGATTTATATAGACTATTGTTATGTCTTTACTGGAAGGTGTGGTCTGGACATACTTTAGTGTTAATAATTTTTATGTGCAAGTAAAAATGTTTATATTTTTAAATGCGTGTTTTCTAGCGAGTTACAAGAACAACTTAGTGCCGTTCATGCTCACTGTTGCCTCTATTTTTTATACCTGTGACTATTCGGTATGAGAATATATGGGTGGGACAAAAATAAAAAGTAATTATGAGTTATTCTTGAAAACTGTGATTTCTTTCTCAGCACAAATGAATCATGTTTCCTTTTGTGAGCATTGCATACTGAAAAAAATTTTAATTGTAAATAAAATAGTTTATTTAAATATGATATCTGATTGCATATCTGGTAACTGATGTGCAGTTAAAATCAGACTGCATCGCAGACTGATTCTTTATTTTATTTAAACTCAGGCTTGTGCTTTTAAAAGCATAATGAATTAACTTTTTGAGGAAGTTAATCTGTTGAACTCATTTTGCTGTTGACACTAAATACTACTCTAAAAGTGTACTTCAGCTTCCATTCAGCTTCTGCCACTAGTCAAAAGTTCTGTCAGTAATGTTATGTGTAGTACAATTATGTAATTATAATTCTTGCTGTGTGTAAGAGACTATCTCTGCATCTTTGCAGAGAGCAAGTCAAAGCTTGCTGTTGGATGACATGGTGGACAAGTTCAGACAAGTCTTGACAAGTTCAAGAAATCTTCTGTCTGAACGCTTGCAGGCCAGGGATTCCTGGAGAGAAAAGCAACCTTTGGCAGCTGCTACATGGCAGGTGAGCAGCCCTTTGTGGCCACATCTAGTGATAGATAACTGTCCAGAGGACTTGCATGCCCACAGGTGCTCCCTGTGACTCTAACCTAAGTGCCAGGAATGCCTTGCTGGTGGAGGAAGAGGATTAAAAAAGGCACGTGCCTAATATCAGATCTTGTGGTGTGATACTTGCCTGCTGCATGATTCTCCAGGGCCTGCTACCTGACGCCTGCCTGTTTCTCATGGACCCGCTGTTGGTTGCCTACTGTTTATCTGCTTGCTGCCTAAGACCAGCCATTCTGCTGCCGCCTCCCCCTGTGCCCTTATTCCTGCACTGGCCTTGGACTGTCAGAATGGCGCACAGTGGGACACTACTGGATTCTTGGTGGTAACTGTTGGAAATATCCAAATAATTTTTGTCAGGACAGTATCTCTGATAAAAGCAATAGTGGGTGTCTTGCAAGCAGGAGCACCCTAAGGACACAATGACAGCTTTTTGTGCTTTGTTTCCCCCTTTGCCCATCCCCCTCTCCTGTTTCCCATTGGCTGGATACTCCAGGTTCATAATCTTGTCAAAGTTTACGTTTGTTAATTGGTGTGTTATCTGGTGTCAGTCAGCAGCCATCCTGTTGTTTCTAAGATATCTCAGTGCTCTTGTCATATTGATACGGTGACTTTCTTCAAAGTCTTTGTTAAAGAGCAATGGGGAGGGGCAGGGCAGGGGTGATGCCAGGCCTTCCAATGTCTCTTCAAGCACTTCCTCGGGCAGGCCATGACTGGTTCTCTGGTTTGATCTCGTGCAGGATATTCCTGCAGTGTGTATGGCAAAATACACATGTATACACCTACATACAGAGTGTGCGTTCCTGGGGAAGGTTCGTCTAGAGGATAAGTGATGTAAACTATCAGAGACCCCCTCTGAATAAAGTAGAAAGACTCCCAAAAAAGAACTGACTATATTATCCGATTCTAATGCAGAAACAGCATTTGATTCCCCCATGACTATCCATGCTTTATGTAATTCTTGCTCCTTTCCTATCTTTTGTGTTTGCCCTCTTTCTCTAAATTGGAGAGCTATGGATTTGAAGGATGGACTATTCGGTCGATTAAGAATTGGTTGGTTGGATGCAGCCAAAGGGTTGTGATTAATGGTTCTGTAGTCAGGGTGGAGGCCCTGAGGGGTCAGACCTGGGACCACTGGTCTTCAACATGTTTATCAGTGACATAGGCGATGGCATCAAGTGCACCCTCAGCAAGCATGCAGATGACACCAAGTTGAGCGGTGCAATTGATACATTGGAGGGAAGGGACCTCTAGAGGGACCTGGACAGGCTGGAGAAGTGGGCCCATGAGAACCTAATGAGTTTCAGTGGGGCAAAGTGCAGGGTGCAATCTTAGGTATTTAGACAAATTGAGGGAAGGGAGCAGCCTGGCAGAGAAGGACTTGGGGTTCCTGGTGGATGAGAAGCTGAACATGAGATAAAAGTGTACGCTTGCAGCCCAGGTGGCCAACTGTGTTCTGGGCTGATTAAAGGAGGAGTGGCCTGGAGGGAGAAGGTGGTGATTGTGCCTTTCTACTCTGCTCTTGTGAGGCCCCATCTAGAGTACTGTGTCCAGACCTGGGGCCTTCAGAACAAGAAAGACACAGAGCACTTGGAGTGGGTCCAGTGAAGGGCCACTAAGATGATCAGAGGGCTGGAGCACTTCTCCTGTGAGGAAAGGTTGAGAGAACTAGGCTTGTTTAGCTTGGAGAAGGTTCCCAGAATATGTCGTTGTGGCCTTCCAGTACTGAAGTGTAAACAGAAGGCGGTACAACTGTTTATGAGAGTGGATAGTGATGGGACAGAGAGAAATTATTTTAAACCAAGACAGGAGAGGTTTAGGTTAGATATTAGGAGGAATATCACACAGAGGGTGGTGACACACTGAACAGGCTGCTCAAGGAGGTTGTGGATGCCCCATCCCTGAAGGCATTCACAGCCAGGCTGGACATTGCTCTGGGCAGCTTGGTCTGGTGGTTGGCGACCCTGCACATAGAAGGGAGGTTGAAATTACATGGTCACTGTGGTCCTTTTCAACCCAGGTATTCTGTGATTTTGTGATTCTAATTCGTAGTAATCACTGACCTTTCATTTCTGTATAACTTTAACTGATCAGACAACATTTTACCTCACTTATGTTTCAGTCTTACCCTGGATATTTCTAAGAATCTCTTCTCTCACCCTGATAATTAGAGCACAGCACTGTGCAACACCAATATGATACACAATTGTTTCTGTAGCAGGAAGTTGGAGAGACTCCTCCAAGAATGCTACTTAAAACATTTGAAGTGCACTGGACAGTAGGAGCTTCCTAAGGCAATTTCGAGAACTCTCCAAAACGGCCACCAGGAGAGCTCCCAGAAATCCATCATGCTTGATTGTGAAGTTTTGGTCACACTTTCAAGTCAGATCTTCATCTCATGATAGACCATTATTTCATCTATGCAGATGATTCAGGGAATAAATTATATGAATGAATGCGTGCATGCCATTAATATCTTCACTGCTGAAAACGTGAGACAATCTGTGCATAATTGGATCATTTCCCATCATTTAGCTTGGTTACCCTCTGTGCCTGTTTTCAAGTAGGCAAAATGGGGCAGCTGTAAATATATGCTGAATGGCATTCTCTTTCCATGAGATAAGCCGTACCTAGTGGCTTATGTCTGAACCTTGTTGTTTACAAAATGCCTGTTGGTTCTACAGCGAGGTCTGCTTAAGAGGCTTATTTGGTTGTGTATACTTGAGGAAAATCCATGGTGCTTTGTACCATGCTGGGATTTCAACTTCTGCTATGTAAGCAGATTTCTCTGCTATGTAGGCTTTAAATGCAATGACATATGCAGAATGTAAATTTTGTAAATGTTATTAATATTTCCATAGGTGTAATTTAAGGAAAACAAGCCATTGGATCTTTTTTGTTCCAATATGAAATCTATCCGTATTTCAGAAAGTAGGAGGCCATGGTGTCAATTTTTGAAAATATGCAAGTGTATATATGGAGAAAGAAGAATTTTACATGCCCACAAGTTGTCAACTTACTCCTAAGAGACTGTCGATAATAGAATCTCCAAATGAAAACATTTTCACAGATTGTAGAAGTGGTGATAAGATAAGTAACATTGTGTGTCATTTGCTAAATAGTCTGCCACATTTTTTGATACTCTGGTATCATATGAAGGAGTACCTTATCATAACATACAGCCAAAAGAGGCCAGAACTTCATGTTGCTCTGGAAACCTTAACCCTAATCTTTGATCCCTTTAAGCTTCGACATCTTAAATTTAATGCTGTATTAGTGTGGAGTTCTACATTGACTATACTCTGTAAGTTGTTTTATGTAAATGGTAAATGTTATGAAATTTTAAAACCTTGAACGCTCAAGCTGCGCAGCAGCAGTCTATGAATGGTAGTAGTTTTTGTGGTCTGGATGACTGCCCATTGAAAATAAGCTTAAATTTCATCTGGATCAGGTTTTACTTCAGGTCATGGGAAGATGTTGCAGGCTTTGCTTTTGCCTGAGTTAACTGTTACATGCTTATTGTAAGTGGAAGTCATCTAAAAACTTACTGGGAAATCTGATTTAGCTATCTGGAGCAAGCAACTCAATATTTAATATACATGGTAAAGTAGTAAGAAGCTTGGTGCTTAGAAGCAACTAATGTGAATAAGATAAATGTATTCCCTAATCATTTGTCCCATCTTAAATCTGTGTTGTTACCATTTTATTATACTCAGTGGCATTTAAGATACAAAATGAAATTCAAGATAGTCAATTGGAGCAGCTGTTTCAAAAAAAAGTCTCATCTAAGAAAATAAATAAGCCATAAAACTGTTAGTCATTGGTGCATTTGAATTATATACAGTTGAAGAAAGTCAGCGAAAGACAGAAAATATCTGGACCTTCTTGAAGTTACTCAATAGGGCATAAATTATGGTTTTGGTTTTTTGTTTTTTTTTTTGTTGGCAGTAATACTGATTTTCTTTAGAGCATTCTTATGCGAATGAGGCAAATTGCTGCTTCTTATCCTAAAGAGGAGGTGGATAAAAAATATACCCTTTAAACACATAGAAAGGCTGCTGCAAAGAGGCATCATTCCTTCATATCTGTCATAAAAGGACAAGAGTTGAGTGGCTTAGATTACACTGAAGATAAATTAAGTAATGGGGCAGCTCTCTAAGAGTAAATCTAATAGGTTGCTTAATGAGGACTACCAATATGGGAGGTCACTAAATATGAGAGAGATGTATATCCATTAGAAATTCTGTAGATACAACTGGCCTTAATTCAGGATAGAGGGAAGAGCTGGTATCTTCTGAAATAATCTGAGGGCCATGTGAGGCTAAATAATCTTGTTTATTTTGGTTAATATCAGAGTACTAGAACACCACTAGTGACGGAGACCAGCTCAAGATGCCTGGGACAGACGGGCTTAGGCTCTGGTGGTGCAAGAAGCAAAGTTTATTGTTGTTACAGGGTTTTTATATCTTTTAGCTACAGGAGTATACAATACTTAAATCAGATAACATTCATGCAGCTGACAGCAATACATCATTATTTAATTAGCTCTTTGTGGATTATGGTCAGTACAGTGATCAAAAGGTGTTCTCTCCACAGAACATGTTCTGCTCTTGGTCATGGAACGAAGAAGCTGTAACTTATGCTTGCCAGTTTCACATGGCAGTCCTTCCCTTTCAGGAGGGGCTGCATGTTTCACGTGGCAGTCCTTCCCGCATGTTTCACATGGCAGTCCTTCCCTTTCAGGAGGGGCTGCATGTTTCCTGTTTGACCCTTTCAGGCCAGCCAGGTCTGTTTTGCTTAACAGTCTTCCTCATTCCACCCTTTTCTATTTTATTAGACCAGAAGTGGTGGTTTATTTTTTGTGTTTTCCATCTCCAATTTTTTAAGATTTATACGCAAATTTTGGAATCTATTTGTTATTATTTTCATCAAGCATGGACAAGCAAGAATTCCTATTATTATCATTATGGCAATGACTATCAGCCCATAAATTCCTTTTCTAAATGATTTGAAGGACGGAAATGCAGATTTTAGAGCGCTTATAAATGTAGTACTTTGAGTTGCTACTGAAAGATCTATATGGTGTGATTGTATCATATTGTGAATGTGCTGTCTCAGTTCCCTAAGATCTAATGACGTGTTCGCATTATTCCATATGCCTTGAAGATGATCTTGTATTTTGTTCCAAGAGAATTTGGTATTATTGTATTCAACAGGAGTCACACAGATAGCTCGGTATTCTGCATGACACAAGAGAGATTCACGAGTAGCTATAATTTGTAACTGTCTTCCCAGGATGTCTACTGTATCTTTTAAGGAATTGAGACGCAGTTCAATCTTTTCATCCCAAGTAGCTTGATTTTGTAACGCTTTAGATACATTAATTGATAATTCATTAACATAAGCTGCTGTCTGAATACTAGTTGTTAAAGAAATAGAAGCTACTGTAGTTACTGCTATGGCAGCAATGAGCGCAGCTATTCCGGCTATTATTAATCCGACCATTTGCTTAGATCTCTCTATTAATTGCAAAGAAGTTTCTTGGAGAATTTCCATTCCCTTATCAGCATACCAATAATGTGTCAAATTTACAGGAAGATAGACGTAATCGGGTTGCTTTACTAACAAGAAGGAACTACTGCTACTATTAAGACAGTTAGAGATTATACAATCGGTACAACTCACTATGCTATTCACAATATTTAGTGGTCCGCTTAAAAAGGCATAAGGTTCTGGAACACAAGCTCGCATATAAAATTCAGTTGTATAACTCTCTGCAGTCATTGCCCATTTATTATTTATTTGAATCCAAGTCAAGTTTAATCGTTTTGCTTTGATTTTTTCCATAGCTGCGACTGCTTTCCATAAATTAGAATAGAACGTATGATTGTTTTTTGTCCAAATTCCTGAGACCAAATTAATTGGTCGCCCTTGATTTCCTATCATATTCCAATCACAGATAGTGGAATCAATGCACACCATTTCGTTAGCTCGACATGCTCTCCATAAAGGTGCAAATTCTGTTTTTGGAGTGATTGTGCTTTGACATAAAGGAAAATTTAAGGGAGGCGTTCCAGAACCTCTTGTCCCATTAGCTAAATCTATATAGAGAAAATTCAGAACCCAATGAATTCCTGTTGAAACACTGGTATCCCAATCATTTTGCATTATAATTTGTTCACACAATGGATTCATCTGGGTTAGAGTCAGTCTCTGCATCTTCCTTCGCAGTTTTCCCATCTTTGTTTTCGGCATGACGGACGTATCTCTCCAGTATCCACTGTGGTGAGGTTTCGTCTGTAGGGAAAACACAAACATATCCTCTGCCCCAAATTAGTACAGGATCAGTACCATAATTTTTACCGTCCATTGGATTTCTCCAATATGCTATTGGTTTATCTTTTGTTATTACTCCAATGTCTATCTGCATTTTCCATCATCATCCAATGTCAAAAAATTTAAAACAAATAATGCATGTGATAACATAGAGGACGGAATATCTTTAATTCCTCATGTCCCCCTTTTTATTTTCTTTAGTTGAGTTTTCAATAAATGATTAAATTTTTCTACTATGCCTTGGCCTTCTGGATTATGGAATTCCAGTTTTATGGTAAATTATAAAATGTCAACAAAAGGTTGCAAAACTGTTACTTACATAAGCTGGCCCGTTATCGGTTTTTAATGATTTCATTGTTCCCATAACGCTAAAACAAAGCAAAAGATGGTTGCATACATGAGAGAGTTTTTCACCAGACAAGGCTGAGGGCTACAGCAAAGTGAGAGAAAGTGTCAATTGTTACATGGACATAAGAAGATTTTCCAAAAGAAGGTACATGTGTGATATCCATCTGCCATAAATCATTAGGCATTAATCCTCTGGGGTTCACTCCAAAATGAGAAACTGGTAATAAAGGGGCACAAGAAGAACAGTTCCGCATATTCGGAAGTCCAAAGCAAATATTCACCTTCACTTAACACAGCCTTTGCCAAGCTTTTCCAGTCAGAAGGGGGAAGAATATTAGCAGCTTTAAGCGCTTTCAGTTGTTTAAAAGGAATAGGCTCATAATCATTCAGAATGCCACCGTTTGCAAGTTGACGCTGTATGACAGGGAAAACTTGAGACTGGAAAAGTTGCCCAGAAAATTCATCTATTGTTTCCTCAGCTTTCCTAGCTTCTTTCAAAGCCAATTGCATAGGAGATTGTTGCATAAGCAAAGCGTCTACTCCAGGCGGGGGAGGCATTCGCCCTGCTCGGAAGGCAGGCAAAACAGCAAGGGGATCTGATCGAGCCTGATCGACTATCTGTTGTGTCTGCACAGCGGCATCAGCAACCTGTAACGCTGGGAATACAGCCGCTAAGTCCTTATGGTGATATTCAGCAGCCTCTTTTTCTAATTCTCCCCAATCATCAGGGGGTAAAATATCCTTTGTTATGTTAGTGCCAGGAGGTTTACAAGGCGGCAAATCGTTTGCTAATTTACAAATCAAAGGTTGCTCATATTGGGGAGGGGAAGATGGGGGTGCCGATGGCATAGACTAAGGGATATGATCAAGAGATTTTGATCGCGGCAGGCAGGATATAACTTTTCTGTTGAGCGAGTGGTCCGCTGCCACTTCTCATCTCCTGTGTCTCCTCTGAGACATTCTTTTATTAGAGTCCAAAGTGTAAAGGTATCAATAGGTACCTTCTCAGGACCATGTACAGCATAATAGCCCTGGAGTCTTTCACCTACTTTGTTCCATGTTTCAATATTAATAGTTCCATCCCTGGGAAACCAGGGGCATATTTCCTCTAAAAAATCTAAAAAACGACTAATCTGACCCCGAGTCACTTTTACTCCTCGGGCAACTAATAATGATTTCAGCATTGCAGAAAAAATGCCTCGTTCAGTACTTGCAGCTTGTCCCATTTTATTTAACAATCTGTCCAATTCCCTAGTCCTTACCTCCCTATTTCAACTTACCAACCGCAGCTCGTGGGAGGAAGCAACGCCTTTGTCATTGGAGTCCGAGATTCCCGGGTTTCGGCACCAAATGACGGAGACCAGCTCAAGACGCCTGGGACAGACGGGCTTAGGCTCTGGTGGTGCAAGAAGCAAAGTTTATTGTTGTCACAGGGTTTTTATATCTTTTAGCTACAGGAGTATACAATACTTAAATCAGATAACATTCATGCAGCTGACAGCAATACATCATTATTTAATTAGCTCTTTGTGGATTATGGTCAGTACAGTGATCAAAAGGTGTTCTCTCCACAGAACATGTTCTGCTCTTGGTCACAGAACGAAGAAGCTGTAGCTTATGCTTGCCAGTTTCACATGGCAGTCCTTCCCTTTCAGGAGGGGCCGCGTGTTCCCTGTTTGACCCTTTCAGGCCAGCCAGGTCTGTTTTGCTTAACAGTCTTCCTCACACTAGGTTTTCAGTCATTCTTTAAACCAACAGATACTGGAGAGGACAATATCAGATAAAGTCAAGATTTCTTCCCCTTTTCCCTTCCATTTCTTTAACTTCTAGGAGAACATTTCATGCAGTAGAAATATGCAGATACAAGAATGAAATGTAGGACTGATTCCTGTATTTTCTATAAGAATTTTTTTTTTTAAAGTAATGAGGAAATTGTTTCTCATCTATAAGATGATGAAATGTGTACGCCAAAACTTCCATTGGAGTGTATGCTTTATTCACATATATACACCAAGTGCAGTTAGTTTATTTGTTTATTTGAGGAAATGCTTCTTTTTTAAATTTGTAATTAAACTGAGCTGCATAATGATGTTGTGAAGTAAGATCTGTGTCACTCTGCATCTTCAATCAAATGTGCAAATTTAACTTACTTTACTAGGGAGTATCACATAATGCATAAATATTGCAATTTAGTGCACTCAGAATATGTGTACAAAATATTTTTGTTATGAATAAGTTATACATTTTTCAAAAGATGAATTAATTCTAATAGAATGAATTTGAAGCTATCATAAAAAATAGCAATAAAGATAGCTTTAGATTATGATAGAGTGAGGTTTGTACGTCTTTCACTCATAGGTTTCTACATGTCTGAAGTGGGACATGGGAAATTTTAACAGCCCCCACATAAGGAAATGACTTTGTGATCGCCTGATCTCTGCATAAGTATGCCACAAGAAGAAGAGTTCTTTTTCATCCTTGCTTTCAGTTGGAAGTAGGTGGCTAGTTTTTTAATGGTCTTTATGGCAGTTTCCTTGCTCTTGTAGCCGGTTGGTCTCCTATAGTTCTAGCTTTGGGTCTCAGACCTGACACAGAAGATATTAATGTTTCCCATTGGCTTCAGTGGAAATTCTTTGAGGAATAAGTATGATGCAGGTGAAACAGAAATCTGGCTCTGCCTGCAGCAGCAAATGCTGTTCATTCAGCAAACTGTTTACAAAACTGTCACTAGATCTACTTAAAAGTACTGTATGTATCTTGGATCTGATTTTAAGTGTCAATGGGATCTTAAGCATGTTTTGCAAATTGTAGCTATACTTGTAACTAGATTTGGGAACAGCCATGTGTTATACAGATCTTGGGAGGATGAATGTGTAATTTCAGATAATGAGTATGTTTAAGAGTGCCAGGGTGTGCATACAGATATTTCATGAACACAATAAGGTAATTTGAAATGATGTATTTTTTCAGCTTTATTGGATCATGCAAGCACTTCAAGCACTGAAAAATAGCTCTGCCAACACCATGGCTTCAGCAGCAGGGAGCAGCATTTATAGGAGGGAAGGGAAATGGTTAACAACACAATCATAGTTTAAAAACATCACTAGATACTGCAAAGATGAGAAGACAATTACAACATATGAAAAAAAAAGTTACATGCTTCAGAATCTGCAGGAGGAAAGTATTCTGTGCTTTCGAAGAAGCATTTTACTACCCTTGCTATTAAGTCCTTTCTCTGCTCCAGCAGTGCTGTGCTTATTTTACTCACTGCATACCTTCCAGCTGATGCAACAAATTAGGTAATTCTTATGAAAACTTGTTCTTCTTGTATTTGCCATTCTATGATTCAGTACAACTTGACTCAATGTACCCTGTAAAAAAAGAGTTATGATGGTGTAAGTAGTCTTTACACCAGAATCTATCTAACTGATTAACTCACTCACTAAGATAACATAAGATCATTCATGCAGTTCAATTTCTGAGATCTCGATGGGACATCTACATAGTTTGGACAAATGAGAGAGGTAGACAGAATTTCAGATAATTCTGGACATACACCCTTGTTCCTATAGATCATGTGTGGAGTGACCCTGTAATGCTATCAGTATCTTATGTGTGATTTTTCACAGAAGTCGATTATAACAGTAGAAGAAAGCACATCTAAACAAAATGATTGGTAGGCTTCAGAGTTGTTCAGTTGGCATTCCAGAGTTGTTTACTTGGCATTCAAAAGGCTAACTCGCCTTTTTTTGCAAAGATCAGATGAAGACCCTACTCCAAAATGAAAGAAGTAGTGTGTGTAAGCATTCCCTATACACATGATACTTGAGAGTTCTTTTTATTTTCTAGAGCTGAGAGGATGGAATCAAGTGATCAGTCTGACCACGTGTCTGTGGGTCTACACGCAGTGTGGCTCAAGATTGCACACCCAATAATTTGCACACCCTATAATTTACACAAATTGGAACACATGCAGGCCTGCTGCTCTAAGGCATTGTTTTTGAAAATGCACACACACAGCGTAATTACATTAGATTTTGCCCCAGTCCACAGTAACATGAACCAATGGCTAAATAGTGATAATATGTTTGATATTAACACTAGCAATCCCTACCACTGCTTTTCTTAAAGACAATGGTGAAGTAGTGTGGATAGTTCAGATGCTAAACAAATACCAGCTCAACTCAGAATGAATCTGTGTTTTACTTCACCAGAACTGTTTATACTAAAGGGATTTTCTTCCCCTATGATTTGATACTAAGTTGTTTCCATCAAATGGCTGTTCATGTAAACATGATCTTCTGTATCACTCTGAAAATCGTTCTATGCCAATTACTTTAAAAACAAATACCAAATGTATGTTTATGTTGTTTGAGATAAATGCTCACAACTGTAGGCATTGCTGGCCTCTATGATTAAGGCTCTGATGGAAGTTCTGACACAGTTCCTAATTGTCTTGATTTATAATTCAATGACAAAGAAAACAAATTCATACTGTGGTCTAATTTGGAATATAATTAATGTACTCTGAGAAAACTGTTTATGTAGAACTTCTGTTTTTTACTTCTTTGGCCTTACCATGCCCACAGTAGGTTCAGATGCGAAACTGGGTTTTTCTTCCTTTTCTACATGCAGAAATTGTATTGGCACAGAACAGGTTAGGCTCCTCTTGCCTCTCTCCCCGCCCTCCCTGGTTTTGTAGCTGCACATACATATTACTGAATTACAGTACACTACTTAAGATTTAACAGTAATTGGAGGAAATATTGAGGAATATTTTGACTGCATGCTTTGGGAAAGATACAAAGGGTGGGAAGAGGGATTTCTCTACTCTAAGGGATCAAACTGTCGAGGCCATGTCTGGTACGAACCTTCTAAAAACCTGTGAAATTCTGGCTGAACTCTAAAAACTGTTTAACTGTGCTCTGTGTAAGTTTCCTAGAGAGAAATACCATTATTTTCTTAGGATATGTTCTAAGAATATTGTCCCAGCTTAAATAATCACAGTTTTAAACACATAAGATCATCTTAATTGAGTTACTATAGGTTAAGCATGTCACTGATTTGTGTTTTGCTATATTGGCCCTTTAGAGGGAAGAAGTGGGTGTTCAGAATTTTTGGGAAGCTGCAGTAAATCTGTTCCTCCCAATGCAGCAAAATTTTTAGCATTGAATATTTTTAGCCTTAGACTATAGAATAACAGACATGAAATCCATGATATGTGCGTCTGGTTTTACCTTTATTGTAGGTTGTGTAGGGAACCAGGAATGAACTGTGGACTAGAAGAGATTACAGTCACCTAGTGGCTTGGCTTAGATGAGCTGAGATGGAAGCCGCTCTGCAGATGTGGCCTCTTCACAGCCATGGAGGCTGCAGATGATCTGGAGGTGCAAACTGGAATTTCTTTGTCCTTGTCTTTGTTCTGGCATCGTTCATATGGAAGAGCTACAAATCTGAAAGGGAAAGAAAGAAAAAGCATTTTTTTTAACAGGAACTTTTTTTTTTTTTTTAATTTTAAGGAAAAAAAAACCAGAAAAGCAATTTTATTAATCAGATGTGAGTGATTCGCTCATGAATTATCACTGACATCTAAAATCACAGTTTCTGTCATTTGTCCAAATGGAATGGCTAGTAGCAGTAACTCGTGGGTTGCAGTCTCTTCTATGGACCAACCACTCACAGGAAAAAAGGACTTAATTACAGCTGAAAACAAAGGAGCGCTGAAATTTGTGAGTTATTGTTTCTATTCTACAATCTGGAGAGATTGCATTCTGTATTTAAAATGCAATGTATCATGCTCTGATTGTTCTGCTCTTCTGTTGCATCAATCC